CCTTATTAACTCGTGAACCATTGACTTGATATAATCTGTGGATGTTAATTTACCACATATTTAGCACAATGTCACATTCATTTTAAAATCTGTTATTTTAAAAGTCACATTCCATTTTAACTTTTTGCTTTGTGCTAAAATAATGATTCTCTTATGATGATTATGTTATTATTAGAATTTATTTTACATGTTTTGCCCTGTTGAATATTAGAAGTTACAAGATGAATGTATGTCCAACTTACATCTGCATATCAGTTTAGTTTTGGTGGTTGCGCAATGACTTTTGCTGCAGGTCTGGTTGAACCCCAGTTAAGCCGCTGCAACTGTGATAGAATATTTCATTACAAACCTGCCGTGAAACTTGGCATCCAACATTTGTATCAGCATGAAGTGCATATTAACGAAGTCAACGTGCACTCACACACCTCACTCCAAGACAGTAAGATTGTGATTTCTAAAATTGTACTTCTAAAATGAATGTGTTTTATTCCGAATGGACATAAGAAGAAAACTATCAACAACCAGACAGTAGATGGGACACATGCATCTTTGATTAGTTCTTGACTCTGATTGAGTAACATTGTTTTTTTGACGGCTCCAGTGATAATAACAACAACAATGACTGTATTCTAACTCCACAGCAGTCCCAAAGCCGTAAATAGCAGTATCCATAAACATAGAGGAAGTAGCAGGAGTGACTCCCTCTTCAGCTGTATAAGATAAGTTAAAAGTCTCTCTGGAATTGTTTGATTTACTGAACCTTCCCCTTGCCTTTATTGATTTATTAATCACTACATCAATGAACTAACAAACAATGACCTTTTCATGGTCCCTGACCAGGCCCCACTCTAAACGGGCTGAATCGATCATTTAATGGAACATCAAGGCCTCACAGATTATTTGTCAGTATTTTGTCATGCATGCATGCGTATCCGGAGAGGTCAATAAATTGACCTTCCCTTTGAAGTGGATAGACAAGTAGACAGGACTGCATTTCCTCATTAACCTCCATCATCCCATTTACAAGCTATTTAGACTGTAGGCTAATCAGGACAGTTTTGTGAGGAGCATCAATGGTCTGTTGTTACTTGTTTGATGTATGCTGAAAATTGTTGCAGAGGTTACAATACATTGATAATGTTCTTTAAAAGTTCCCAGGTATTTTTTTTGTTACATAAAAAAAAAAACTACTCCCTGTTTCCATAACATTTTGTGGCGATAGCCATACAAGATGTTTGTGAACATCCAGGATTTTTTTACTAATGTGGGTTTTTTTTTCAAACAAAATGTTACACCAGGCTTGCTTGAGCTTGCTAGAGATCTTAAGTAGAAAATTGCACTATTTTTCTTCACAATTTATGAAACTACCTGCCTCGAGTTTACGATACAGTCTCCATCTATGAAGTAAACTGGAGTGCCACTCAGGAATAATGTTCCATTGAATGATATGGAAACAGGCCAGCTGGATCTTAACGTACAATAGCTGCTTTGAGGACTCGGAGGCTCCAGCATTGTCCACTGATCTTTGCAATTATGAACACAAGTGAAAGCACAAGAAAAATAGGGAGTATCGGGGCTACGGGAAAGATCACAACAACGTGGCCTCCTCTCACTCCAAGCATGGCACGCAGACGCTATCAACTGGCCTGTGTCTAGAATACGGGTTTATTCAATAGATGTCAGTCACTGCCCCACCAATTGAGAAAGACATGGAGCATAATGCACTAGATTTTGGGCCGGCAGTAGTAATGGCTCATAAATTCAACAGCCCTGGAGGAGGTATCTGTCAAAACTCAGCAGTGTATTGTGGGTTAATGTCTTTCAGACCCCTCCCTCAATATGCAGTCATTGTGAAGTCTGTGTGTACTTCTCCCTCCCCCTTTTCTGCCACTGCTACTGTAACTCTCCACATCAGAGCTAAATGCAGCCAGCCACACTAAAAACAATTTTCTTTTTAATTAATCACGCCATTCCTGTCAATACATGAAACAGCTTTGGTCAGGGTTCGGTCATGCAGTTAAAGCACCAATCAATGGCACGAGGGCTGAGCTCAGGCACTGCCAATATTTTCCATAGTGTAAACAAGAATCCTGGAAGCTCATGCTGTCCCAAATAAAATGCCTGCAGGGTGCAGGCGGCCCAAAAAGCCTGTGCCTATTCCATGCTTTGATAGTCCTTTGTTCCTTCGAGCTGGCTTCTGAGGGGTAGAGGGTGGGTGACCCATTGTGCCCGCCAGGGGAGTTCTTAGACCCCCCGGTTCCTCTCAGACAAGAAGCATAACTGTCCTCCCCTCCACCCCTCCACCCTAATAAAAAAAAAAAAAGGATTGATATGATTTTTATTTTGTTGTCAGTGTGTTTGACAACAAGCCTGGTAGTAGGGGGCCCCATTAAGGGGCTTCTCAAGTCCCGGTGTGTTATTGCACTGTCTTCAGAGTTTTCCAGTTGCGTCGTTGATATGGATTAATGTTAAATGCCCCTCAGGTTCCCTACTAGCCTGCAACAGCTGGTAAGAGGCCTGTACGGGGGATTCATGACATTTTGTGTCTGAAGCAGTACAATTTCTTTGTTTTATCATTGATACAACCATATCATATCCTTCTTTGCATCCGCTCTTCAACTCGGGGCCAGAGGCAATTGCCTGGGTTGCCTAACCCGTTGCGGCCTCTTGGTTTTGATGTTCTTTGTGTTCTTGATTTCTCCCAAACATATTCATAGAATTGAAAAGGCAAGCAAATATATTCCTGATTTAAAAATAACAAATTGAGCTTGACAGTGAAAATTTGACCATCCCGGCCCAAGTGTCCCTTTAAAGGAAACATTTTGAAATATTAGGATTCTCAGCGGCGGCATGGTGGTCATCTTGTAATCATGTCCACCTCACAGTGAAGAGGGGCGGAGGTCATGGGTTCGAATCCGGCCCCGGCCTTCCTGCGTGGGTTTTCTCCAGGTACTCCAGTCTCTTCCCATGCTCCAAAGACATGCATGGGTTTAATGGAAAACTCTAAATTGTACCTAGGTGTGACTGTGAATGTGATTGGTTGTTTGTCTGTGTGTTTAGGTTTTACCCCACCTATTGCCCAATGACAGATGTGATCTTTTCCAGCACGCCCGCAACCCTTGTGAGGATGAGCGGCTCGGATCATGGATGATGGATCCATTTGTTAAGGTTGGTCAGGAGTAACCTTTGCCAAAGGGGCTTACACATTGTACCCAAGGCACCTTTCCAAAACATTTGTAGATTTGGCCCTATCCTTCCAGTACTTCTGGTTAATCTCACTCTGACAGGATAGGGTAGGCAAGGAAATTTATGAAGCAAAAGCAAAAATTCAAAGAGGCCCCATTCTGTCTGGATCAAGCTGACTCCCAGATACAATAACTAAACGAGGTAAACAAAATAAAATGGAACCTCAAGAGTTGATCCATCATCGTTTTTTCTGTGAGGCAAGTTGGCTTCAAGGTTGTTTTGATTTCCAACCATAATTTCCATTTTACGGAAAATGTGAAGCGAATTAATTAATTCCAGGCTCAAACCATCACAAGTTTTAATCAACATTTTAAAAGTTCCTATTGTACAAGTACAAAGTAAACCACTCTTAAATGAAATTAAAGTCACCCTTTGCCAATCCACAAAAATACAGCTCTGGTAACACAAAGGTGTTTTTGCAGAGTGATACTGTCACCTAGTGGTATTTTGCTGGACATAGTAAGTGTATGACTGTCAAAAGATGCCATCCATTTTCTTTATCACTTGTTCTCTTTTGGGTCGCAAGTGAATTTGAGCCTATTCCAGCTGACTTTGGGCATCTTTTAAGCTTTTTTTTTTTTATAATTATTATTCGCTTGCCAATTGCAGACCTGTAAAAAAAAGTTATCCAAAATAAAATTCTCTAAAATATATCATTATTATATTTACCTTTATTGTGCAGCACCTTTTGAGGTACATAAGGACACTTTCAAACTGGTGTATGCAGAGAAAACTAGCATGAGCGAGGGAACTGACCCGAAAGTTCTCTTAGTGTGATGCAGCATTGCTACTCGAACGAATTTTTTTAAAACATTAAGTCTAAATTGCAGAGTGCAATTCAATGCAGTACAGTGGGTGTTCCATTTACCAGTAACCTAAAACCTAATACATGACAAAAAAAAAAAAACCCTTTAAAAATGAATTTTGATGAATTAAAACCATGTTGTAGAGCCTGCTCATCCATCCAAGGGGCAGAAACACTGATATGGATTTGAGGCATTTTGTGCTCCTCTATTGTCAGGGACTGAGCCTGACTGTGAATAGCAAAAACAATCAACGCTTCTTTGTCATTGCCATGGACAATGAGAAAAAACAAACAAAAAAAAAAAACATATATATATATATATATATATATATACACACACACATACATACATACATACACCCACATATATTATGAGTTTTGATGAGTGACAGTTTGGACCCAGCACAAATGAATTCCCTTTACATTATTTTGTGTAGGATATTGCGTTTTTAAAATTGGAACAATTGGGATGGATTTTGGGAACGTGCACCTTTTCAAAATAGAGCTTACTCGATTGTGCCAGTGTAACCGATGGTGATTGGATTCGCGCAAATTTGTCAAATGACCTTCTCTTAGCACAGCCCTAATTAACAAAATGGCAACTGCTTCTACAAACGGTAGTTACTTGTACTTCAATTAACATTTGCTAATGAATTGAAAAATGTTAATAGGGCTCACTCCTGCGATGCATACGCGAGGCCTCACAAAGATCTCCTCTGCATCCACTGCTCAGGCGCAGGCACACAGTCAATGGACATGTGTCTTTGCTGATTCTATTGAAGTTTATTTTTTTTGTTTGTTTTTTTAAATGGCAAAGAGAGAGTGCTGATTATTTCAAGATCGATGAGCTCTTCCTATTATTCACGCCGATGGCCTCATGAGAAACTAAGGACAAACATTTAATTCAATTAGCTGGTCACTGAAAAAAAGGACGAATCGAATAGTCCACTGACAATAATGAACTGGTTTTAATCAGCTCGCAATGAACCCCTAACAATGTTTTGAATGATAATTTCAGTGATCGTGTGTGTCAAAGTCATTCCCAAATACAGCCAATAGAAATAGCTTCGTTTATTGTTCAAATCTTCCAAAAGAGGGATGAATAGAGACATTATTGCACATGTCCAAACACACACACACCTCTGTGAGGGAATGATAACACCCGTGTCAACAGCTCAATAGTTATTGAATTCATGGGAATTAGCGCTCAACTGTTGAACGGTTGAGTTGTTCAGTGTTGCCTCGGTGATGAATTAAGCATTTTCCAATATGCCAGGATGATGACATCGTCAGTAAAAGATGAGAGGGTTGGGTGGGAGAAGCTGGACCGACAACTGCTAATCACAGCCGTGGTTCCCTCTTGTATGCTTGCAGATCATCCAGATTCCAAATGTAGAGCTTTTTTGGGTTTGTTTTTTTCCCCATATCACACACTCAGAGGTCATGACACTGGTTTGCTCAACTTTAGTCCGATGACTCATTGGGCGGCTTCATATCCTCCCGATGGATGAAGTCAAGAGGTTTGATCATGCCGTGCTGCAGTTTCCTGCAACATAAGACTTGGGTTTTTTTTTCCACAATATACCAACACCTATATTACACCCTTAAACATGTACGGTGGATTGGAAAAGTCCACACCCCTTGTTTAAATACAAGGGATTTGTGATTAAAAAACAATTAGCCTATATAAATTTTCAAAAGGGAAAGTAAAAAGAAACCACTGAGATAATGAGGTTGCACAAGTGTGCATGCACTTTTAACTGTGTTCAGAATTAACCTGTTACATCGAAACTCATGTTCAATGAGAACTTGGAGCCGATCCCATTCCAGTTTACACACATAGGCAACTCTAGGTCACTTAATAGCAAATCGAGCTAAATCAACACAATTAAAAGGTACACTGACTTCATCCAAAGAATTCACAATA